CAATTACAGAAGCCAAAAGCAAATTAGGACAGTGAGAAATGGCTACTTGAGCTGGGATAAGGGTAACTAGGAATTAATATGGTGATGTTCTGGGAAGTAAGAAGGAACAGTAGAGAGGGAGGCTCCAGGGAAGAAAAAAATTATCAAGAGTAGAGGACTAAATAAGTCTTACTGTTACGGGAATGGATGTATTCAGGAGGTTGGAAAGAGTTTCCAGCTCAAAGGCTAAAGTATTTCCAGTCCTTAATACAACTAAAATCCCAATTAATAAGCATTATGTCACATTGAGTCATATTATGCTTTCAGTACTCCAGCAAGCATTACATCACTCTCGCGTATATATTTAAATAGTGGGTTATGGATATGGTGTTGAGAAGGTGAAGTCAACCTGGGGAAAAAAAGTCTGTGAAATCATAGTGAATAGTATTTCAGCTATGTTTGCAAGTCCTCTTGACAGCCCCTGCTTGAAATCTGGTCTGGGTTATATTTAAAGGAGACACCTACATCTGCAGTGGAACACGACCACTGAGAACTTGGTCGAATAGCAGCCTCCTCAGAGACTGGAGCACTCCATCCCACAGGCAAGCTACTTAAGACAGAAACCAAACAGCTCACAGCAGCTTCAGGGAGTCCTCCAAACTGAGAAGGTTCATTAGGCTCTCCTCTTTCCTTGGGAGTCCCTCTCAGATAAGACAAGCTGCAAAGATAACTGGAAGCCTGAAAGCAGCAGAGAGCAGCTGAACTGTCTAGAAGATGCTCAACCAGCTGAGTCCCCTGGACGTTCTCCTACCTGCTGAGCTGTCTGCAGGTTCTTCAGTGTGCTCTGGGTTCCCAACTTTTGTTAGCTGATACACATGCTTGAATGGGCTTTGGTGATGCAGCTGCTTTTGAGTCATTTCTGCTCATGCTAGTAACCCCTCACCCATATTCCTGTAGGTAACCCAGAAAAAACTTGTGGGTCCCTTAAGTCAGACTTTGGTAGTAATCACACTTTGGTCTGTCCTGGGTTCCCTATCTGGCCGAGGTGACTAGAAGTGTGTGTGTTATATCTGCCTAGGAAAAGTCTTTAGCACAACATACCTACATGGCCTGAGTCACACGGAGCTGACCCTGTCAAAGGCCCTTTTACAATCACTAAGTCTGGGCTCTGTATATTCTGAGATGGTTAAAAAAAAAAAAAGAAAAGAAAAAGAAAAAAAAGAAAAGCATCCACAGATTAGAGTAATCTGGACTAAAAGCGAGAATACTATCTCACTTGATAAAAGAATAGAATTCTATGGTTGATAGAATTCTGATATTCCTAGAGAAGATTCAGAAGTTTATGAAAGCTCCTGTTTCCATTATTGCTGGTTCATTGCCATTACTATTACGCTGTTGTTATTGTAGTGGTGGTGGTGGCAGTGGCGGTGGTGGTGGCAGTGGCGGTGATGGTTCTGGGAGGTGTCTTCTGTGTCAGTGCTCTGCTGCCACAGTCCTCTTGTTCTTTTTAATTGTTGCTATTTGTTGACAAAACTTGTAAGACTTCTGAGGAAAACATTCACTAATCAAATGTGGCCTTTGGCATCACTTTGTATCCTCTGACCCTCACGGCCATCTTCTGGGAACTAGACAGGGGTAGGCCCATAGCAGGTATTTGGCTTCATGATAGTACACCTTGACTGTGTGACTTAAAAAGAGGTTAATCTCCTCCTTTCCATTACAGGTATGTGCATGTACATGTCACTATAATGGATGCCTGGCTGGGGTGGTAGTGGTGGTGGTGATGGTGGTGGCGGTGATGGTAGTGGTAGTGGTAGTGGTGGTGGTATTCAGGCAACATGTCAGTATTGCTCATGCTACATATCAACTTTTCTTGCCAGGCACAACCAAGAAGACTAGACACATGTTTTGATTTCTCTTGTATTTTCCTTGATATAGAATATTAATCATTATTGGTTGCTTACCTTGTCTCTCCATTTTCTGATTTTTTTCAAAAAAGTTTTAAAAAATGTAAACTTAAAATCCATTTTGATGGTTTGAATGATAATGTCCCCCAGGGCTCATTAATTTGAATGCTTATCCCTAGTTAGTACATTTTATCCCTAGTTAGTAACTGTTGTAGAAGGATTGGGAGGGATGGCCTTTTGGAGGAGGTGCTTCGCTGGTAGTAGGCATAAAGGTTTCAAAAGGCTCTTGCCGTTCCCAGTGTGTCTCTGCCTAGTGCTTATGATCAGATGTAAGCTCTCAGCTGCTGCTCAGCGACATGCCTTCCTAGCTACTGCTGTGCTTCCCTTAACGGTGGTCACAGTCCTTAACCCTCTGGGCCCATAATCCCTAAGTTAAATGGTTGTTTTTGCAAGTTTCCTTGTTCACGGTGTTTCATCACAACAGTAGAAAGGCAACTAATACAGCTATCTTATTTTTTTAAGAAATATGTTTCCTCAACATTTTCTCTGATAGTGATTTCAGAATGATGGCAACTTTTTTTTTTATCATTTTGTACAAATGATGTCTTATTTCCACAAGGATGTTCAAAGAATCTGATCCATCTTTGATTATGATTGACAGATTACCCTATATCTCCCATCTTTTCTCACAGGATTCAATCTCACTATGCTAGGGGTGTAGCTGTCCTTTTGTATTTGTAAGGGATTAGTCCCTGCTTCTGTGGATGCTCAAGTCCCTGTAACAAATAGCATAGAACATTTCCCTTATGCATCCTCCAATATAATTTAAGCAATCTCTAAATTACTCATAAACCTAAGGCTATATAAAATATTAGATGTTATACAAATGGTTATCATACTGTATTCCTTAGAGGACCATGACAAGACATAGCCTACACATGTCCAGTACAGACACATTCAAAGAAATCTGGTCTCTAACAGATAGACCCTGAAGATTCACAATCTGAAGCCATGCATGAATAAACGTCCCAACTACTCTGGGCACACTCTCTGAGCCTTTCTCTTTACTCCTGTTTTAGAAGAACCAAATTCATAGCTCTTTATGCTTGCAGAAGGACTAAATGTTAGCAGTCTAAAATGAACACACTCAGATTTTGAAATTGGTTTCTTTTTTAAATGTGTTTTTAATTGCTAAAAGATTTAGTGGGGGAACAAACAAAATAGTGGAGTAGGAAGGTCCTCTCTTCAAACCAGTGAGCCAGGGAAGAATATCAACAGCAATTGAGCAAAATGCTGCACTCAATTGGATCAATTGGCTTTTGTTCTTCAATTATCTTTCTGAAGCACACAATCAGTATGCCAAATATCAGTCTTATATTGGTCAGCGGTTAAATAGAGGTAGGCACAATTTTTTTAAACAATTCGTCAAGATAATAAAACTAGGTGTGCCTTTCTGTTTGACAATGTAGAAATTACCTAAAAAATTCTAGAGTCTTAGAATTCCATGCAACTTATTCTATCCTTAGATTTCTTTCATGTTCTTTGATGCTATTTGAATCATGCTTTAATTCTTTATGTTTCCTTTGCTCCTGTCTTCATAATACTGTCCTTCCCACTTAGAAAGAGCATGATATTTTCCTTCTAAAAGTCTGTTTTCAAGTCGACTAAATGAGATTCCCCTGTCACAAGGCTACAAACTTTGTTGGGAATAAAAACAAACAAAGAATAAAAGAAAAATAACTGCAGCAAGCATTACTGCAAGAGGAGTGAGGGCTGATGCAAGACACAGTTTGAAAGTGCGACAGAGGTGGTCAGGGCATACCAAGGAAGTGCCAAAATGTCACCATTTCGCCCCTTGAAGCCCCTTTTTTTCTGGAAATTGATATAAACACCACCTGAAGTTTTAGCGGCATATGCTAAGTATTGCTTTCTTGCTTACCAGAGTGGTTTGGCATGTTCAGCTTTGTTTCTCATGGTCAGTCTGGGTGGTCCTGCAACAGGTCCAAAGTCAAGTATGCTCCACGGTTCCTCAGGCTGGGGCCAGGCCCAAGGGGCAGTGACTACCAGGGGCACATTCTTTCCACAGAGGGGTCAGCAACTCCTGGATCTCTTATGCAGAACTGGCATGTTGCCACTTTCTCTAAGGGCCTTCCTGTCCTAATGGACTATATTGTGCTATCCAGCCAAAGCCAAGACTGGAGAGTATGAAGGAGAGAAAAATAGGCTTTCCCTGTAGGGATACGGGATGAAAAATACAATGGGAAAGATGGGGATAGATTATAAGAGTCAGAATAAAAGGATGTTTGCTGTGAAACAGTCTCTCAAAACTGAGACCTGTACAATGCAATATCAATAGACAGGCCGACGCAGAAGGGGGAAATTATTACATGGTACCATGACTAGACAAAGAATAAAAGCAACTAATGACTGCAGAGAGAGGGAGAATTAGTCGCTCTCAGGGATGAACCCCCTTATTGGTTATCAAATACAAAGTGCTCAGCCTTGAAACACAAAGAACAAAAACCAACTCAGAAGCTTGTATTTATACACATATGCATGCATAAATATATATACATACTACATGCATACATATATGTAACCTAACAATCCAATAAGCAGGCTACTGATATTAGAGTGGGGGGCATGGAAGGAGTTGGTAGGAGGGGACTTAGAAGGGACTGGAGGGAGGAAGGCAGGGGGGAATGATCTAATGGTTTTTTAATTAAAATTGTATAAAAATAAATATTCAAAGATAAAAGAAGCTCTATCTTGATTTGAAGCCACAGCTATATTTGCAACTTTTAAATTTGTAAAATGTGGCTTGGATCACATAGGCAGAGAGAAATTCATCCTTGTAAACAGCTAATCAGAGGCCCATGATCAGAAGCTGCCCAATGATGTTTATTTATTGTTCAGTTGACAAGTGAGAGTTGTATATATTTGTGGTGAGCAGTGTAGCATTTTTAGTCTGTCATTTATATTCATAAACATTATACAACAGTGAAATTGAGGAAAGCTATGTGAGGATAAACCTTTCTTTCTGTAGTTATAACATAATTTCAAAACAAAAAGATAAAAAGAAATCTTGACGGATCTTTTTTTTTTTTTTTTTTTAATGAGACTATTCATATAAACAAGTTTAATGTAAATAACATGGAATACAAAAATGATTAGAACCATTGTTAAAAAGTGTCTAATTCTACCTTTAAAAATCATTAAAATAAATAAAGCAGGACAATGATCAGAATAATACCATTATAATCATATAAATAGAAAAGCTACTTTTTTTTAAGGATGGAACAAAGACGGTACCACACTTTTTTTTTTTTTTGGCAGCTCAAAAGCTTCAGATGCCCATGATATGGAAACCAGGGTGCTCACCCACTGATGAAAGAACCGTGGGTCTCTAGACCTGCCCTTGGGAATTCTGACATCACTTGACAGATGAGACAGGTGGTGTGGTGTCTGCACAGAACTGTACCAACACTTAGTAAAATAGTTATTTCAGCTGTTGTACCTTGTCCAAGTATGTGGAGTATTAGGATCAGCAATGTTTAGATGATCTAGTTATAACAATAGATGTGTCCAACTCCCTATAATGTGAGAAATGATGCACCCTTAAGTCTATTTAGGTAAATGAGGCAAAGATAATTTCATGTGATAAAAGCCTTATTCAGTATATATACATACATTTAAAAATGAGCAGCACAGAGCAGATACAACTCTTTACCACCCTTACTCTTGACTACTTCAGAAATGAAGACAAACTTTAGAAAAATACAATGCAAGAAAAGATTCAAGTTGAAAATATATTCCTTTGGTTAAAAATCACCCCTTTATGATCATGTGTATTCTTGTGACGCAGAGCAGTCGCAGCAGCACAGGCATGCTCTTGTGTCACTGCTACGGTTGCTTCCAGTCTAGAAGGAATGGAGCTCACTGGGCTGCAGCAACAGATGAACAGGAAAGCCCCGGAGCATTATCTTGACTGTGTTCTTTACTTTAGGTACCTCCGACACATGTAATTTTCTTCAGACACTGTATAGCCAAACTTTTGGTAGAAGCCAACGTTTTGTGGTAGACATTCAAGGGTGATCTTGTAACAGTTCAGCTTCTTGCTTAGCAAAGTCAGAGTTGATAATAACAGTTTGCCGAGCTGCTTCCCTCTGCATGCATCACTAACAACGACGTCTTCTACTCTCCCTCTCTTAGCACACGAATGGATAAATTTATGTTCTATTATCAGAGTTGCCGTAGCAACAATTTGTCCTAGGGTCACATCTTCCACAACTGTAACATAGTAATCCCCAGACTTCTTCATATGCTCAAAAGATTCTTTATTCAAGTCTGCAGTACAAAGAGGCCTCAAAACCAAGCCTTCTCCAGGATTCTTTGGAGAGATGGCTGGAGAAAATGTGGCTGTATTCTGACTCCAGTCCACTTCTTCAAGCAGACTTGGGTCAAACATAGGCGTTTCATCGGGTTTCATCTTTCCAGTAAAATCACACCGAAGCGATCCACGCTCCCCTCCAGGCGCGTCAGTCTCCCGGCCGGTCACAGCGCCGCATCCGGATCCGGCTGCAGCGCCAGCCCCACCCCCTCCCGTGCCCCCCCCCGCGCCGAAGCCGTAACGGCCGGGCCAAACGTGGCAGGACCGGCGCCTCCGCCCTGCCCCGCCCCGCCCTCACGCACGAGCTGCGCGCGCGGAGGCCGAGCCACGCACACCATTCCCAGGCTCCGGGGGCGCGGGGAGAGCTTGACGGATCTTTCTTCAAAATTGATGTAGTATAGGGCCATCTCTAACCCCTTGAAAATCACTTATGAGTGTGCTAAGAATTTCTGTGAAATCACTTCCTGCTTGAATATTATGCTTTGATGTGAGTACATGTCATGAAATATGTACATTAATCTCGTTATGTTTTATTTACATTATTACCAAGCTTTGAGGTGAGAACACCCAAATCTACTCAATGAGCAATACAAAAGCATTTGATATGTGGTTTAGACACATGGTTGCTGATTTTAGTCTTCTTATTGTACGATGGAATTCTTTTTATGAGTCCCATGCAACTGAATGTTTATAATCTTTCATCAGTACTTCTCCGCTGCATCTCTGGTAACCTGCACTCTGCCCTCTGCTCTTTTGAATTTAGCACCGTGTCTTTTAGGTCTATTTATATTGTCACCAGTGAGAAGACTCATTTTCAATGGTTCATCATTGTCCCATCAAATATATGAACTGCATTTTCTTTATCTGATAGTCTGTTTATGGACAGTTGAATTAAATTTGTTATTGTAGATTCTGCTGTAAAATACATAGGAGGACAGATGTCTCATTGACATACTGACCTCATTTTCTTCAATAGATAGTCAGCGGTAGGACTGATGGATCATGTGGTCAGTCTAGGAACTACCCTGTGAAAAACTGAAAATTAGCCAGATGTGGTGGTGCATGCCTTCGGGAGACAGAGTCAGGCAGATCTCTATGAGTTCAAGGCCAGCCTGGTCTACAGAGTAAGTTCCAGGCTACTCAGAGAAACTCTGTCTCAAAAAAACAAAAAGAAAAATAAAAAACAAAAAAGAAGAAAGAAATAAACCAAAAAAGAAAAAAAAATCTAAAAATTAATTTATTAATCTTAATGAAATTATAATATCATATAAAATAGTCTAAGCAGAAAATTGTCACTTCTTTTCAGCCTCTTGAATTTTCTACTCAGTCTATTTGAGAAATAGGTCTGCTCAATCAAATAAATAACACTAAAGTCTTGTTAATTGCATTTCTCTTTCCACCTATTTTCTCCCTAGAGCATCTCATGTGACTCCAAGTATAGAGGTATATAAAACATGTATAGATATTGAACACGTACTACTAATGGCTTATAAATAAATTTACTTTTTAAAGTTGGTATATGTATATCACTTTATTATTTATTAACGCTTAAAGTAAATTTGTATACTAGTGCTCTGGGTGTTCTCGGTTAATCTTATATAAATCATTAAATCTTAGATAATTATTTGATACTGTAAGACATATTATCTTCAATGTTTTTCATAGTTGATTGATATTTTTATTTTATAATATTCAATGTTTAACATATAATTTCACATTAATATACAGTACAAAATGGCAGAAATATGGTTAGGACAACTTCAGCAATTTCTGGGAATTCTTGTCCTAATCCTAAACCAAAATTCATTTAATGCTTTTTCATGAAACTCAAGTCAGCAATTCAAACAGAAATTTTTAAAAATCAAGCATTCTGGGTACAACTGATAATTACCTTTCTTTGTCCGTTTTGAGACTGTAATTCAATTGCAACATTTCCCCTGTCCCTTTTCTTCCTCCAGAGTGAAGCAATATACCCCTCCCTGCTCTCCTTCAAATTCATTGCCTCTTTTTCATCAATTATTATTTATATATATATATATATATATATATATATATATATATATATATATATACATATATTTCTAAATTAACCTATTGAGTCCATTTAATATTATTTGAATATATGTTTTCAGGACTGTTTTGGCCCTAGACAACAAATTGGTGTTCCCTTCCCTAGGGAAGGCCACCTCTCCCACTCCCAGATTTACTCAGTTGCCTACAGTTCTTTGTGTGTAGTTGAGGCCTCCTGAGCCTTTCTTTGTCCAGTTTGGCATGCTCATTTGTATTCTCCTTGTTAAGATCACATATGGGTGATTATGTTGTTGAGATTTTGAGTGTATTTTCCAATGTTATTAGGAGGCACAATCTCACAGTGACATCCAGGATCCTCTGGCTCTTTCTGCTCCCTCTTCTACAATGTTCTCTGAGTCTTAGATGTAAGAGTATTCTGTATATGAATCAATTGGGATTCGGCTCTACAATCATGGTTATTTGAGAAGAATCCACAACCAGTAATTTATTAAACTAGAATAATCCCTAACACTGTATGAATATTTGTTCTTACACTCACAGATAAGTGTAGGCTTCACCCCTCATCAAGGACATTTTATTTTTTGCAACAGTCAGAGACCATTACAGAAAATCACAACCAGTACCAAGAATGCTAACCAATAGGGATGAAGCTTTCAGGTCAGTACCAACTTGATGCCACATTTTCTATGAATACAGTATTCTGTGTCTTCATCAATAGGGTCTTACTATCAAGTTCTGGAGGACAACTAAGAACTATGACAAAACCCCATGATGTGTGGGGTTTAAGGGACCCCATTAACCATCAGTTCCAAAAGAGATAAACTAACCCTGGCACTAGACTTTTTATCTGGAAATGTCCCTCCTTCCCATTAAGTTATAACTAAGTTTAAACTCCTTTTATATGTGTCCATATTTTAGGAAGCTTGCATGATAATAGCTTTCTGGTCTCTTTGGCTATTCTTTCCAATTTAACCACACACATCCAAAAGTTCATCTGCATATGAGAAAGAACATCCAGTGCCTGGTTTTGTACTACCTGTAAGCAAGGGATGGTATTTACAATTTCAATGCTTGGTAAGAAAAAAAAACAAAGAGAATTTGTTTTTTGTGGCATATGAAATTTAAATTTCAGTACCTTAGAAAGCTTTATTGGAATCTAGCCACATTCGTCTATTTATTCTCTGTATGTTGTGAGGCTCAGCAGTAGGCTGGAAGCACAGAGATTGTGTGGTTCATGAAGATGGAAGTATTTACTGTATCATAACTTTGCCCTCTTTTGGACTAAACAATTTCCTAAGAAATAAGATGCCACATACCTATGGAGTTCTTAAAGGTTCAAAACCTGACATTTCTGCAACATGAGACAGAAAGGCAAACATGTATGATATCCCCATTTACCTCCTTGGGACTAAAATGGTCTGGTAACACAGATGGATCCTCACCTCTCCCTAAACACTTTCCAGACAACACAGCTTGGTTCTGTCACCATTTTCAACAATGAAAACAAAATTATCTTGCTCTGGTTGCTCAGAGGTGAAGTTCACACCCTGCTCCCAGGCTCATCTTGATACTGGGTGGGATGAAACACCCATCAGTTCCACTACTCATTGAATATATCTAATCACATCTTACATCAACTGCTGAGCAATGCCAAGAATCATCTCCCAAATTTGGGGCGGATAACTATTCACATTTCATAATGCTTTATCCCAGATATTTTTTTGTATGTGTGTATGTGTGCCTACGTTTTTTTTTCAACACTTAAAATTTCCTTTGTAAGCTTGGATTCTTTATTTCATTTTGTTTTATAAAAACAAATGTCATCCCACAAGGGAGACAGCTCTTGTTATAAACACATGTATGGAGGACTGTAAAACTTAATGAAATTCACAACCGAACATTATAATAAAATGGCCTCGGGACAGAAACAATCTAATCAGTCTCCAGTGAGTCCCAGATGATCAGCTACAATTGTACACAGGTGGCTGAGGGCACAGGGCTGTTGGCGTTTTGCCTCACAGCACACAGGGGACGTGAGTTTTATGACCCAATTCTGCATGTTCTGTCCTGCTTTATTGTTGCATATTTTTGTCAAACCTTTCCTGGCAATGTAGCTGCACAGAAATCATAGTCTTCAAATCCCCCTCATTAAGAGAATTTAGCAAATATTTTACTGCCTCAGTAAGGGCATATGTCTATGAAAAGCAACATCTAAATGAGAGGTAAAATCCAAGTTTTGGGGTTTTGCATCTTTGAATAGGAGAACAAAGTACCAGGGCACAACAGTGTGTGTGTGTGTCTGTGTGAATGTTTGTTTATTTACATATGATACTATGGGTACATGTATGTGTGCGAGAAGAAACATGTGCTTATATGTATACATCCAAGTAGAAACAAGAGGTAAGCTTTGGGTGTCTTTGCTGTTCTTTCTCAGGCACCATTCACTTTGGTTTTTTGTTGTTGGTTTAGTAGAGTTATGATGTGGGAGTGTCATATATCAATCTGTTGATTTCATTGGTTAAGCAATAAAGAAACTGCTTGGCCCTCATAGGTAAAACATAGGTGGGAGGAGAAAACAGAACAGAAGGCTGGGAGAAAGAAGCTGAGTCAAGGAGTCGCCATGATTCTCCCACTCCAGGCAGATGCAGGTTAAGATCATTCCTGGTAAGCCAGCTCATGGGCTACAGCAGATTATTAGAAATGGGCTAGTCCAGGTGCGAGAGCTAGCCTAGAAGAGGCTAGATAGAAATGGGCCAAGCGGTGTTTAAAAGAATACAGTTTCCGTGTAATTATTTCGGGTAAAGCTAGCCGTGGGGGCGGCCGGGTGCCAGGGATGCAGCCCCGCTGCTCCTATTACAACAGAGTTAGTTACTCAGTGGTCTAGAGTAAAAACATCAGGTTAGACTGGCTAGCTGGTGAGTTCCAGGGAACCCTCCTATTTTGCCAGTCCAGCACTTGTGTTACAAGTGCATGATGGCATGCTTATGAATTTTATGGAGACTCTGAGGATCAAAGTCAGTTTCTCATGCTTGCTCTGCAAACACCTTACTGATTGAGCCATTTCTTCTAGTCTTGAAGCCTTCTCTTGCTAATTCTGTGGGGAACCAGAAGTCTTTCCTACAGCTTTTGTTATGTGTTTTATTGAATGGTATAGAATAATGAAA